ATACATTGTGTCTTAAATATTAGCCCAGGAATTAAATAAAAACAATAAATGTTTCATATAAATAATAAATGTTTAATTACCTCTCTGACTCAAACAAACCGCAACTAAATAATTTATTTCATTTTTTTTTTCTTTTTGTATTGACAATATTATTGCTTTACAAAGCGAAAGTTCAGTGTCAGCTAAAAATATAGAAAGATCATGTTTCATGTACATGGTGGATATCACGATTTTGCAAATTCTGTGTGTCAGCTTTATAGAACTTTATAGAATAAGTCTTTTTTTAGTTCAACAAAGCACTGCGTTCAAATTTATTTTCTAACAATAATACTTTTATACCTGCATCTTGTTAATGACATTCCAGCCATCCTTGACACCTTTGACCTGGATATAGCTGGTCGTTTCCGGCAGCAGCGTTTGGTCCAGGATCTCCAGCTTGCCGTCTGCCTTGCTCCATTTCATTGCTTGCAGCGTCATCGTGAGCTGATGATAGCGATCTATCGCAACCGGTCACGGGGCCAATTCACAATGACTCTCTGGATTTATTGAATGAACGTGTGACAATTGAGAGCCGAGCCAGCTCACAATTACATTACGCCCAGCGAGCTCTTGCCTTCTTCTTTAGGTTAAGGTTGAAAACATTCGGAAACATCCAACGAGCAGGCGCCATCTGACGAACGAGATTACGTCACGTGTGCTCCATTCCATCCCACCCATCTCCATCGCCATCTTCACCCCTTCACAGCCGAAAGCGTATAACGTTATCACCAAACGCGTTACATAATTCTGATAGCAGCAACAAGCGGTTGTCATCAGTTCATCTGTTTTGAAACTCCGGCACAGCTCAAGACAGCTGTGAAGTAATCGAACGCGTGATCTACTGAGATCAGAATTGCCTCTCGTTTCTGTCCGCGAACTGTCCAGCGCTGATAGAAACGCAAATAAATCCTGATATACGGGAAAATAGGTATTTGTGTCCATAGAATTGTTTACTATCAAAATTATACGGTGACAGATCTCTATTAATTAATTACGTACAGTAAAAGAAGCAGCTTAATAATTAGTATAACTTCAATATAATTGATTCTTATTATTGTTCATTTCTCACTAAATCTAAATGAACCAATAAATAAACCAATCATATTAAAAGAATTTTATAATAGTTGCAAAACTATTTTTTTGCTGAATGCAACCATTGCCTCCAATTATTTAATTAAATTTAGTTTTTGTTATGCAAATTATTTATATTATAAATAAAGTTATTAATGATGACAAAATTCTTTTTTTTTCTTTTTAAGATAAGTTGCCAAGAAAATGTAAAGTATAATATATATCCGGATTATATAATAAAAATTTATTTTAATAATTGTTTTGATAATTACAATTATA